AAAATATATACATATATATATATATATATATATATATGTATATATAACGTTAGATCGCGAAGATCAGTCGGCGAGGAGTTTGAACTTTGCGAACTCGTTTCTGTTGCTTGTCCGTTTTCACTTTGACATCAGACTGTTGCATAAATAGACTGTTGCTCTAGTGACTAGTGTTGTATTTTAAATACTCTATTTTCTATCCAGCTCCTCGAATCCACCTTTTGTCTCCCTTCTCTTAGCTTTAAGTCTAGACGAATTTAATCTTGAACGGAGGAGGAGGATGATATCGATCGAATTTTTATCACGTACTATTTCAAGAGGATCGTTCTTAGAAAAATCAGAATTTAATAATTTCTAGGTGTTTATGAAAAATTTCGAGAGAAGAGGAGAAAAATAAATAAATAAATAAATAAAAATAAAAAGTTTCGAAAGTTTTTTTCCCCTCTTGAAAATTTATCGATCGAAGCTCGGTCGATACGACAGAGAAAACTTGTCCCTTCCTTCGTATTTTTATCCCATTAATAGAAGAAACGTATGCGGTCGTCCACGCACGAGAAGGAAAGATTAATTGGTCATTAAGGTCGGAATGTAGACGACGATCCAAGAAACCGATGTTGCGGTTATTGCGGGAATATTGGTCGACGGGAAATGTTTCAAGAAATCGACAACGTCGGCGGTGGGTGGAAACGTTACGGGGACAATGACGACAGCCGTGGTTCGGGGCCCCGCGCGTCTGTGGAAGAATCGAACGCGACGTGTACATACACGCCCCATCCACGAGTGTGCGTTCCATAGAGGCGTTTGAATCCGTGCCAACAGACTTCGACTTATGCCAACCAACCTTCTCTTACGTACGTGTTCATACGACATTTTCGTGTGCGACATGCCTCTTAACGAAAGGATCGAACGGTTGCGAGGCTGAGATTAGCGGATAGGAATTCGATTCTCTCCACTCTTGCGAGCCTTAGGTTTGTCGTTTTCAAATTCTCGAAATTCCTCTTGGATATTAAGATACGAGGAGAAAAGAAAAATACGGCGAAACGACGTTATCCATTGAATTTATCGAAAATTCGTATTAGGTTCTAATATGGATAAAAATAATAAGTGAACTTTTTTTCTCTTTTTTTTTTTTTTTTTGTGTATGTGTATACAGTTCAAGTTTCACGTCCTAGAAGAACGAGATATGTATCGAAGAATCTCGTAATAACGATCGGTGAAAAACGTGTTTTCAGTTCGGTTACCGACAGAAAAACTTCATCGAGATAAAAAAGAATCGAGGTTATTATTGCTTTATTTCTTTTTCCTTCGAGCGGACTTTTTGTGGTTCGAGCTGATGAAATTGACATTATCGTTATCGAACGGAATACTGATTAACGCACTGCAGCAAGAATAACTACACTTTGTGACACTGTATTACGTACAAAGATTTATCGAATCGAATTACCATCGAGTTCCTGCGTTAATATTTTTCCCCTTAAATCTCATGTATATTCATAACAGTCTGCTAGTAATGCGTGAATATATTATCAATCTGCATAGATAGTATGAAAAAAAAGAGTTGATCTTCGGATCGTGTCGTTTCATTATCGACCGATATCGTAATAAATATTTCGTGGTCGATATTTTCGTCCTTTGTTAAACGTTTCGTATAATATTTTAATGAGAAATTGCTTTTTTTTTTTCTTTACGCGATAAAATTTTTCAAAACGATTAATTCGATGATATACGGTTGAACGATAATTTTTCGTGCCAATTAGACAAAGAATAATCTAGGTGTCGCTGGTCGTTTCCGTTGCGCACGCAGTCTTTCCACCATCGTTTCTCCCGGATGATGAAACGTCACGGTTCGTTCGTTCAGATCGCGCCAAGGCATCAAAGACCGGCTCGTATGAATCGTCGAAAGAAAGAACAATCGAGTTCGTAAGGACAATGGCCAAGCCGGATAAGAAATCCATATTGCATTTTTACGCGGTAAAAAATATCCCGTGGTAATTATACTTGGCAAAGAATACCCGTAAATGTATATCTTGACATTTATTTAAGGTTAGGTGAGAGAGGTTTTAGAGGTGAATATATCGACAATGGTAGATTACAAAATTTGGAAGGATTTCGTGGGAACCTGTCACCTGTGTGTGTGTGTGTGTATGTGTGTATAGCTTAAGTAACGAAACGATTGTTACGAGACCGCTTTGTGTTCTCGATTTGTGTTCTCGACAACGAGATTTCTTACGCCAATCGCGATTGTTGCTTGACCCGTGGAAAGTACACGTGTCTGTGGAATCGATAGAAATCAGGGACGATAAAGAATAGGCTCTAATGTAGTGGCGTGCGCGAGTCCCTTGTATTTTTGGATCATAAACAATGGTCGTGGTTGCGAAAGGAGAATAGAACAGGTTGAATATCGATGGGAACCAGAGCCAACGCGTTGATTGTCGTACCAGTTTGAGTGTCGGTGACAGACGACACATAAAATACTTTGATTAATTAATAAAATAGCCAAGTATTATATTTTTATATATTACTAAAAGTCAAATTCATTGTTATATTCTCTTGAAATATATCGTTTTCAGATTTAAGAGACGGATTACAATGAGGAAAGAATCTAAAGTTGAAAAGATATACGAGACAGCGGAACGATACAGCGTACCGACCATCGGTATCGCGTACACGGAGCGGATAGACAGTTCCATAACTCGTACGAAATGGCCGAGGCTGTTTTTCAAGATCCACCTTAAGACCGTGCAATTTCCGTGGCTTCGAACGACGACAAGGGCTGTGCGCTCGAACGAGCGAGGCGTCAGGAGGTGGAAGGATACAACCGGGACAGAAAATCTGATAAAATCGCTATATGAAGCAGAGTAGCCTCGCTAATGAACGTAACTCTTTCGCGTTGCGCCGGTGGTTAGGTTAGGTTCTCTTCTACACGCGCAAGATGTGCGTTGCTGTATATAGCGCGCGTTTAATTGACGGTGAAATACGCGACTACGAGGCACCGTCGGGGGTTCCTTCTTTGAATCCGTGCTCCGTAACAACCACGAGAACGTTCGTAGTTGTCGACTCGAACGAAATTCGGAATGGTCGGCTTTGCTCGTGGAAAATCATCGTTAAACCTAACTCGATGTCTGCTCCAGATATATTAGCTCTACGTACACGTGTATAACGTCGTTTCTATGGAGCATGAATATGACGTACCGATAACACACACGGTTTAAATTTCTGCCATTTTGTGTATTCGTTATTAATCGATACGAGAGAAAAAAAAATTTTTATATTTATATCATTTATTATAAGATATTTATAATTCGTTTTAACGTATCGATTATTTTAATTTTTCTTCTCGTAAAATATATAATGTTATTTTCGCGATAACATTATCGGCCCGGAAATTTTGTTATCATAAATACGATACCAAAGCGTATAGAACAGACAACAGAATTAATTCGCGTTTCCAGTAATGTAAAAAAAAAGAATCGAAGGAACTAACGACGAATACTCTGTTAAATGAATAAAATCGTAGGAAATTAAA